CTTAAACAAGTTTAAAGTTCTTATTACATTTATTAATGATAAACAAACAGCTAAATAATAATAATAACTAAAACTGAAACTAAAACACTAGATAACTGCACTACCAATAAAACAAACAACAACAAAACACCAGCTGAAATGATTGAGATATAATTTCTCTATCTTTATGTTATAGTTTCTTCAGTTTAGCAACAAATAATTCTTCTATATGCTTCCTTATTTGCCTTTGCCATCCGCTTTAATTGGAAAAGAGACACTGATGCCAAAATACTTTGTTTAGCGTGAAAGATCAGAGCCAAAATAGGGTTGCAAATAATTTTATTTATGTAAAATCAACATCAATCAATTCTTCTATATGCTTCCTTATTTGCCTTTGCCGTCCGTTTTAATTGGAAAAGAGACACTGATGCCAAAATACTTTGTTTAACGTGAAAGATCAGAGCCAAAATAGGGTTGCAAATAATTTTATTTATGTAAAATCAACATCAATCATTTTAAATCAAAATGCGTACAAAGCATTTTGTTTCTGATCTTTTACATATTGTAATAACAGAAATAAATAAAATTCATAGTTGTTTTAGCTTTGGGTTCATCTAATAAGTGAAGTTTTTCGAATCGTTTTTTAAGAATTTTGGATTATACGCATTTATTAGCACATCACAATATCCTGTAGCTTTCAGTTTTCTTAGGGTGGCGAAATAACTTTAGGCTTTAATTAATATTTTTAATTTATTTATTTTATAGATATCGGCGTTTCTGCCTTCTAATGGTAGTGAGACAGCTAGCGAAACTACTAGCAGAGTTGTTTCCTTATTTTCTTTTTCTTTTTTGTTAGTTTATATACTTCGTTTATTCGTAAAAGGAAACGACAATTAATTTTTAACCTTTCGTGATCATTGTTTTTCGTTTTCTGCTTATGATTTAGGTGAAATTGCATATTTTAACCATGTAAGAATTGAAAATATGTAAACTTACTTGGAGACTTCAACGTTGCGTTAAGCGGGAAACTTATAGTGCATTCGACAAGAATCTACGGTAAATAATATGGATGCATACATGAAGGAGCTCAAAGTTTTGTTCGTTATAGCCGGGTGTTCGTTACGAGTTATTCCTATTAAATGTCAGGAATAATCGGTGTACAAAATTTTATGATAGGCGTTAATGCCGTAAATACGTGACAAATATTATTGACGACTACCTAAAACTAATTTTTCTATCCCTTAGGAACGGAATTTTCTGTAAAGTAAAACGAAAATATTGGTATGGTAGGGAAGAAAAAGTAGGGAAAGAGCGAATATAAAGATAGGAGAAGAAAAATTAGAAGAAGTGGTTGATTTTAGGTATCTAGGAAGTCAGATAAGTCAGGACGGAAGGAGTTGTAGGGATATAAAGCAGAGGATAACGCAGGGGCGAGACACCTTCAATAAAAAGAAGTCACTTCTATGCTCGTGAAAGGTTACTTAGAAATTCGAAAAAGNCCGGAAAACAAAATCGATCCAATATTTTAGATTATCCGTTTCCAAGGAGTTTAGAATTTTTCGGGCTATCTCAAATTAAAGATTTAGAAGACATTAATGGAATATCTCTTTGTCCTTTTTTTAAGCTTCTAATTTTATATAACGGTTGGTCGGTGATACTAGCAAAACTTTTAACTGCAAAAACGTATTTTGCATTTTACAAATAGAAAATGCGTTTGGAAAAGTATTTTAAATAAAATACAATACGCTTTTCTCAAAAAAACTATTTAAATGCAAGATAAAAATAAGTATTTTTTATTTTGTAAATCAGATCTCTGTAAGTAAGACCTTTATTAAATGCTGAAAGTAACTTTGTATATTAATTAACCCTTTTTGAGATACACTATAAGTTTTGACCTATAATAATGTACGTAATGTACTTTTTATTCTATTAATTAATAACCGTGTGATCATGTACTAGGTATATTAATTTATTCTTGGTCGGATGGTACACATGTTGCGGTGAGATAGAGCGAAATGCAGTTGTACCATCGACCAACCGATGGATGTTGTAGATATTTTATCATTACTAGATACAACAAAACCAACTAACGAGAGCCCCACTTGTTGTTTGACCCACATAATAAAATAACTAAGAGAGAGCCAGCCAATGTCATTGGCACGGTCGGCCAATTATATCCAATACAGAGATTATACATGAGAATAATTATCACAATATAGTGAAAAACCGCAACTATAGATCCTTTCTCCACTAGAGCAAGCATCGATTTTTCAAATCACAAGTGTCATCAAAAACCTAATTACAACCCCAAAATATCAACAGGAATAGAGAGATTCAGCTAATAATAATAACAGTTTACCATCAAAACGCTAACCTAATTTTTTTTTAATCAGAGCAATAAAAAACCTGACCACAACAACACTTTTCCTACCGCAACCTTACAAAAGAAATCAGTAAAAAAAGTGGTGTAGCATTGGTCGGGAATTGAACCCGGGACTGCTTGCCTGGCAGCCACACGTCTATACCACTGCACCATTGCCGTTTGTTCAAAATTAAGAACGAGTTTAATTCGGCGCATCGCATAAAAGGGCGTTTCTTAGAGATACTAAAATAATTTATTAATAAGAATATAATCCAAGTTCGATTTGACGAATCCTTGTAACACAAGGCATGTATATTATAACAACTGCAACTGTCGTGTAGAAAGTGGACGCAGGCATACTTCGTACAGCAATTTCTTTCCTCTCTTGGGTCGTTCTAGCAACAACCAATTTCTTATTTCGCGTTTTATGGTCGAAGAAGTACACACGGTAAGCCTCTCGAAAAACAACGGTTAATCTCTCGCATACACCGACCGAACTAAGTAACCATAGCGATTAATAAAAAACGGCCGTGCATTTTACACGCATTCAATCGGACGGACATAAATCCTTCACGCGATTGTTAACTCCGGTTTACAAGATGTGTTGTTGTTATTTATTAGTAGGCAATTCGCGATAATGGTATTGTTGTTTTACTGTTTCTCATATTGTTGTCAGTTACCGCGGTAACGCAATTGTTATTGAATAGTGGATGCGATTGTTTAATGGACTGTTGTTGTTAAGGTGACAATCGGAGGGGCTCACTTGATTGTCGGCGAAAAGGTTTGTTTAACAATGTAATAATGTGATAACAATTAAAATGACTGTGATACAACACGCTTTGACACTTTTATAATTTTTTTTATTTTCTGTGTAATTTTATTAAAAAAAAATTGAGAAAGGTGACGTTAAAAGATTATAAATAAAAAGACGTTTTCTATTATTTTTCATATTAATTAGTTTTTTTTATCATATTTCATAAAAACGTCACTATTTTTCAATTTTCACGATATAGAGGAAGATATTTTATATTTTAGATAGAGTTTTTGTTATTATTGTGTATAGATGACATATTTTCACTACATAAGAAAGCTTAGAAATTAACGAATTTATAAATTTGTAAAATTAAAGAAGAAAATTTCGGAAAAACATTTTATGAATTTCCTTGGTCTTCTGATAATTCTTAAGGAAAAGTGCCAATTAATGAATTACAACTATAACTTTAGATGAGTCTTTTTTCTCTTTACAAGAATATTTGTATTCTATATTTAGTTATTGTAATGGTAATTTTGAACAAAAAATTACGAAGAATTTACTGTTAAAATTGCGGTTCGAAGATACTCGACCCATTTTTGCTTTCGAGAATCAGAAAGACGATCATCATTATGATAATCATTATTAACTCATCATCAGCGAGACTGTTGGACACTTTATTTGTTTATTTTCGGTATATTAACTAACCGAACCTCAAGAAGCGTATTCACACAATTAAAAAAAAAACAGAGTAGCTGTAAATTAATCAATAGTTTGGCCTCTATAAGATGTCAAGCAAATAAACAAGGCATTGTCTGTCATTAAGCAAACGTTTCGATTTAATTGAGGGCATTGCAGAGTCTCAGAAATAATTTTCAGTGAAAGTAGAAGTAGAAATGTATGTATATAGAGAGTTGGATATCTTGGGGCTAACTTTTCATTCATTCATTCATTCCAACTGCTGTGAGTAAATAAGAATTAACCGTCTGCTAAAAGAAATTTAGCCTCAGGCCGTAGAAAATACTTCACCTATATAGTAAACACATTTGTGTATACATACATACACATATAAATAAAATAGTCCATGTATACGGCATCGGAGATATGTATCAATTTAATGTGGCGAAAATTATTAATTGTTTGACCGATTTATTATATATTTTACTTTGTTTTTAATCGAGAATAATGACACTTAGGGTGGCGAAATAACTTTAGGCTTTAATTAATATTTTTAATTTATTTATTTTATAGATATCGGCGTTTCTGCCTTCTAATGGTAGTGAGACAGCTAGCGAAACTACTAGCAGAGTTGTTTCCTTATTTTCTTTTTCTTTTTTGTTAGTTTATATACTTCGTTTATTCGTAAAAGGAAACGACAATTAATTTTTAACCTTTCGTGATCATTGTTTTTCGTTTTCTGCTTATGATTTAGGTGAAATTGCATATTTTAACCATGTAAGAATTGAAAATATCTAAGCATACTTGGAGACTACAACGCTGCGTTAAGCGAGAAACTTATAGTGCATTCGATAAGAATCTACGGTAAATTATATGGATGCATACATGAAGGAGCTCAAAGTTTTGTTCGTTATAGCCGGGTGTTCGTTACGAGTTACTCCTACTAAATGTCAGGGACAATCTGTGTACAAAATTTTATGATAGACGTTAATGCCCTAAATATGTGACAAATATTATCGACGACTACATAAAACTAATTTTTTATCCGTTAGGAACGGAATTTTCTGTAAAACAAAAATACTGATAGGACACGAAAAATTAGAAGAAGTGGCTGATTTTAGGTATCTAGGAAGTCAGATAAGGCACGGCGGAAGGAGTAGTAAGGATATAAAGCAGAGGATAGCGCAAGATCGAGTCGCCTTTAATAAAAAGAAGTCACTTCTATGCTTGCGAACGGTTAATTTAAAAATTCGAAAAAGATTGTTAAAGGTGTGTTTGGAGCGCGACGCTGTACGGGTGCGAAACATAGACGGTGGGCGCGGCGGATAAGAAAAGGTTAGAAACATTCGAAATGTGGTGTTACAGGCGAATGATGAGGATAACGTGGATAGAGAAGGTTAGAAACGAAGAGACATTAGAAAGAATAGGAGNATCGGCGTTTCTGCCTTCTAATGGTAGTGAGACAGCTAGCGAAACTACTAGCAGAGTTGTTTCCTTATTTTCTTTTTCTTTTTTGTTAGTTTATATACTTCGTTTATTCGTAAAAGGAAACGACAATTAATTTTTAACCTTTCGTGATCATTGTTTTTCGTTTTCTGCTTATGATTTAGGTGAAATTGCATATTTTAACCATGTAAGAATTGAAAATATGTAAACTTACTTGGAGACTTCAACGTTGCGTTAAGCGGGAAACTTATAGTGCATTCGACAAGAATCTACGGTAAATAATATGGATGCATACATGAAGGAGCTCAAAGTTTTGTTCGTTATAGCCGGGTGTTCGTTACGAGTTATTCCTATTAAATGTCAGGAATAATCGGTGTACAAAATTTTATGATAGGCGTTAATGCCGTAAATACGTGACAAATATTATTGACGACTACCTAAAACTAATTTTTCTATCCCTTAGGAACGGAATTTTCTGTAAAGTAAAACGAAAATATTGGTATGGTAGGGAAGAAAAAGTAGGGAAAGAGCGAATATAAAGATAGGAGAAGAAAAATTAGAAGAAGTGGTTGATTTTAGGTATCTAGGAAGTCAGATAAGTCAGGACGGAAGGAGTTGTAGGGATATAAAGCAGAGGATAACGCAGGGGCGAGACACCTTCAATAAAAAGAAGTCACTTCTATGCTCGTGAAAGGTTACTTAGAAATTCGAAAAAGATTCTTAAAGGTGTATGTTTGTAGCGTGGCGTTGTACGGGTGCGAAATATGGACGGTGGGTGCGGCGGAAAAGAAAATGTTAGAAGCGTTCGAAATGTGGTGTTGATGAGAATACCGTGGATAGAGAAGGTTAGAAATGAAGAGGTATTAGAAGGAATAGGAGAACAGAGGACTCTATAGAAACCAATAAGAAATAAGCGAGATAGGTTGGTAGGACACCTTCTCAGACATGAAGGTCTAGTTAGAGACATATTAGAGGCAGAAATAGGAGTTAGGAGGGGTAGAGGTAGACCTAAATTAGATTACTGTTCGTAAATAGTTTATATGATTTATATGCATTACATTTACGTATATGTGTACGTATACGAAATGAAAGTGACTTCTCAACAAATGACACTTTTTTTTGTCGATAATAAATAACAATATTAATTTTTGCTATGTATGTATGTAGCTATAAAAAATACGATAGATATACGTGTATCTATACAATTTGCTGAGGCAATTAGAAATGTACCTAATAAAAAGTGAAAGGAATACCAAACTCAATATTAACCCATTTTACAATACACTGAAAATTGAGTACGTACATGCATGTGATACATAAGTGACTGTAAATAATCTATCTATAAGTCGGAATTTAGAATTAGAACGAGATCAGATTTTATTAATATTAAATAACTGAAAAGGAGTTTAAATCAATTCTAGTGTATTTGTTTAATAAATGTTGTACTACGTTAACAAAATTATCGAAAATGTCATTTAACAAAAGCAAGGATGCGAGAATGTTTTTAAATATATATTTCAATACAAGTCCCAAAACGAACAGAGAAAAATTAAAATTTTTTATTTTGAACCATCGAACCTATTAAATGTCAGGGACATTATTATTTTACTTTTCCTGTAATAGTTAGAAAACGTTCAATATATGTAAATTATTGTTTCAGATATTTTAAATTATAGACAGTGTTATTCATATTCTGTAGCTAAATAAAAAATATTTAAAATAGTTTATTATACCATACTTAGAAAAAAATTGTGATTTCAAAAAAAAAATACATAATTGAAATGGTATTA